ATTTTTTTTGTAGGAAGGCCATGAAGGAAAAGGAGGTTGAAGAGAAGGTAGTCAAGAAGGGAGAGAGGAGAGAAACGGGAAGGAAGTTGGGAGGAAAAGGCTACAGAAAGAGAAAGGTAAGAAGGAAGGAGAGAAAGAAGAAGAATGGATGGAATAAGGAAGGATGTACTAAAGAAAGGAAATGATGCAAGAAAGAAATGTGAAATGATCCATACTGGGCACCTGATACAAGCCAAGCATTTTGCCCACATAATAGCATTTACACCTAACATCAATTCTGTTAGGTATTATCTTTCCTACTTTATAAATGGGGAAACAGAAGCTCTGAGAATTCATTTTCTCATGGAAACACACCTGGAAACATCAACCCCAGCTGTATGTAACTCCAAATTCTGTGCTCTAGGAAACCATTTAACTCCAACAAAGAGGATTCCTTTATGGGAAGTAAATGCTTATGCTACACTTGAGTCCTGAGAAGAAGTACCATAGAGGCTGTCTTTGCCTAATAAGAAGCATAAAATGGTTGATTTTCTGAAACCCTCAATCTGTAATCCTGTAATTCTATGGTATTTGGGTTAGTTTGTTAATACTTACTGATATCAGTGACATCTTCTAATTCTGCCTCAGTATTAAGGGACGTTTTCGAAGAATCTAGGGTACACTTCTTTGAGCAAAACCAGGAGGGTACTAGAAGTTCTGTTCAAGTTGACAAATACTGCCTTATCTTATGAGAAAATGGGCACAAAAATATATTCCATGGCTCAGTTTTCACTATCCACCAACAAGCAGGAAAGCCAAACTTAGATCTGCGTGGTACAGAAAATCCCAAGAGAAAACTCGAGCTCATGAAGTTACCTGATTTCTTCAGAGCAGAGAGCAGTAACAAATTACCAAGGAGACAGACCCCAGGAGGAAGTCATCTCACTCTGACACAATTACACGTGAAGAACAGTAGACTTTGTCTTCGTATCTACCGCAACTTTGAGAGTCGCTTCAGAGTACTTACAAAAAGTGTTATTCATTCATTCTTTTGCTTTAGTTCAGTTATTTAGCATTTACTGTGGGTCAGAAGAAGGGGTGAGGGGATGAATGGGAGAAGGAGGCAAAGCGGGGTCCTCATGTCCTGAGGATGGGGCAGGAAGCATGACAGACACTGCCAACACACTTCATACAGCACAGCTTTGGATATGCATTCTAGCCCCCAAAAGGCATAAAAATTAAACCAAGGTACCTCCACGTAGTAATTAGAAGTGAAAATCGATAAGGAGAAAATGGCTCATATTCTCCTCATTGATTTCCTGTGTACACTGAGTCAGACTTGACTGTTGGTTGGAAGTCAGTCTGGCTACTTCTCATTACTTTTTCAGCAGTTGGGTACTCCTGTCAGTGCCTTTCATGCTGGAGTCTTGCTCTGCTCTAATCACAGCTGTCAGCTATTGAATGAGCTTGACACCCTGATTCCAGAAACCAGGAGATTCACACTCCATGCATATGCAGTCAGTTCCTTCATTAACACTGACTGACACCAGAGATAATACGGTGCACTGCCACTGATTTCTATGAGCAAAACAAATGGCTGCACCATCAGGTAGGACTGTCCTTGATCAGAAGCACCCAGAGAGCCCAAGAATCAGTGTTTGTACAATTCAGTGAGGATTGCTGTAAATGCCTATACTTGTATTACTGAAAGCGATATAGGCAATCAGAGCAGAGCTAGATCTGCCCCCAACACACACCAGGCTCCTCCCCCACAATCTTGACTTCCCATTCCAAATCATCTTCCTTGGGAGTTCCAAATGTGGAGCGACAAGAGACATAAGTTAGCTACCGTGACTTGGCTTTTTGAAAAGTGTAAGTTTCTTCGAGAAAAAAACGAAATGACAGTGATCACCTTCCCCCCCAAAAAAAATTTTTTTGAAGCATAACTAGAGTTCCTCAGAGTGCTTCTGTACATATTATCATAAAATGATAGAATCCAAGTTGAAATGGATCATCTAGTCCAAAACCATGAAGGTCAAAATTGTTGCAGAGCATCAGAGCACGCTGACAAGGACCTACCCAGATTCTGGCTGACATTCCTGGCAATAAGCACGCTTTGTTTGGTGTGAGACTGCTTATTGGAAATAGACGCACACGCTGAATCAGTACTACAGGGAGTCATTATAGCAAGGTCCCTGTGGAGATGCATTCCCACTTGTACTTAGTGCATGAAGTTTAGTGATCAAAGCTCTCTGCAAACCTCAGGACTTCGTTACTACCGCAGCCACAAAATTTTCCCTCTGTGCCTCACACATAGTCGGTCTCTTCCTCCCAGACAACAAATATATATCAGTGCTCTCCAAAAGATGAAGTGACCTCTGCCCATCCCTAAATGATCTTCAACTTCTGTTTTCCTCCATCATCAGTTCCTTAAGTACCCAGTGGACTCTTCTACCTCAACGTAAAGAACCTCCAGCACTACTACCAGCAATTTTTCAGCAATTCAGAAACGTGGGCAAATGATTTTCTAATAAATAAATAAAGATCTTAATGGGTTAAACAAAACTGCTCCTAAGTAGCAACTCTGAGCGAAGAGCAGCTTGGGGGTGCTACAACTACAGGAGAACACACCGTGGAAGACAGCGCTTAACCTGTTTGTGTGGAGGCGGTGTAAATGAATGAGTATATATGACTGCACTCACTATTCGATGCTGCGATAGATTTCTTCCTTAATTTACAAAAAAAAAAAAAACTGTCTTTGGGGGTCGGGGGAACAACCCTGACAGCGCTGCATAAGGCAGCGCTTCAGGAAGTACACCAAGTGTCACAAGGCATTGGAATCCACCACCAAGTATCACCCCCGAGTCACACGGACCCACCCCGGTTTCTTTGCTCCAGAACACGTATCACACTTGGACAGTATTGCTTCGTTTGTCGCATTTCGTCTGTCTCCCCCGCTAGAATGTACCTCTGGCCCAGAGGGGAGCCCGGTATGTGGCAGATGGTCAATAAATGGTTCTTGAACGAGGAAGTGACTGTTACACGAATGCGTACCTCAGGCAATGAATGAATGAAAGGACGAACGAATGACCCGGAGCCCGGCCTAAGCCCCCTGCAGTCCTCGGCCCCAGCGCCCCGCGGGCCGG